TGGAACATCCCAAGCAATCAATTAGACTGAAAGTAGTGTGTGATCTACACTCTAATTATAATACTAATATTTGATTGATTAATTAATTGATTAATTAACTTAGCACGTACGTACGTAGTTGTAGGTGTAGGTGTGGGTACGGTTATAATACTAATATTTGATTGATTAATTAACTTAGCACGTACGTACGTACGTACGTAGTTGTAGTTGTAGGTGTAGGTGTAGGTGTAGTTGTGGGTACAAATTGGAAACATGTACGTGCCGACGCGGAAATCTACCAAATCGCTCCAATTTTGATGAGAACCGTTGTTTAACAAAACCCACTAATGAGTCATGGAAAACCACGTCAACACATGGAATCCATTCCATTGACGTATTTCTTTGAGAAGTAGTATCCAATTTACCAAGTTTGCCACTACATTACTTGCTTTTTATTTGAAGGATTTGAGACTTCCTTCTGCACTCAAATATTGAATATATTTGCATTTTTTAGAGGGAAAAAAATTAAAATCAAAGTTCAATATAATTGTAAATATATCAAACAGAGTAAATGGTTTTAAAAACAACTTCATCTCGTTATTCTTGTCGAAAGAAGATGTGTATTTATAAATATTAGAGACTTTCATCCAACTTATAATTTAAAGGGAGTGAATATATTTAACTCATATTTTTGTCTTAATTTATTGAAGAGTGAAGAGTATTTTTATATATGATAGAGAGTTTGCCTCTCTCATGTTTGATAATAATTTAAATTACTAAAACAATACTTTCTTTCTTGAGTTAGGATAAGTGCTTGGACTTTTACAAAAGAGGACTACTAATTCGCAACTGTCCTTGGATCGTTGCGGGTTGTGATTGGTTAAAATTACAGTTAATAATTTATTGTTGATGGACTCTATATATATTAAATCTTATTTATTTATGTTTTATATGTGGATTTTCATGAGTGTAAATTTTAACTGAAGTAAATAATACAATTAAATTTTTATTAAAGTAAAAAATGTATAATTGAGTTTTAGTTTAGTTATAAAAGATAGAAGTGAATAGTTTAATAAAGATAGAGGGAGATGGTAAAGATAAAGATAATGGGATAATTACACTTATTGAATTTTAGTTGAACTAAAATTATATGTATAATTGAGTTTTTGTTATTTGTAAATGATAGAAGTGAATGATTTGGCAAAGAGAAAGAGAGAAGTATGGTGGTGATAGGATAATCACATTTTAGAGATAAGATAGTTTGATGAGTGATGGATAATTATAAATGATAAGAAAGGATAAATGATTCGTTTCCAAAAAGAAAAAGAAAAAGAAAAAAAAAACAAGAAGTAAAGCGTGATTTTATAATTTACTTAAATTAAAATTTATAGTTATGAAAATTCACATCTTTAGTATAAATAAATAATATTTAATATATACAGAATCCATCAACAATATAAAGGACAATTGAAAAGAAAAAAGAAGAAGAAGGAACTAATGAATCCATTTAAAGACAACTAAAAAAGAAAGAAAAAAATAATGCAGTGACACAAAATTAGCTATATATATATATATATATAGGGTCGAGATGGAAGCAAGAGAGAAAGAATAATTGTTAATAAAAACAAGGGTAATATTGTTCAATCCAACCGATGTGAGTTGGACGGATGGATCGGCCATACTTTGCAAAACCTTTGATTTTTTTAATAAAAGTTCAATTTTATTTTATCAACTTAAAATTTATGTGTAAATGGTTTCTACTCAACATATTTAGGTCATGTTTGGGGAGCTTTCAGTTTTTAAAATTACTTCAATTGAAAAATTGTTTGGTGGGTAAATTTTTTGAAAATCTTTTAACTATCAACATGATTTAACATGACAATTATATTCTTAATAAATCATGAATAATAGCAAAAAGTTGAGTTGGAATGTACAAAGAAGGGAAGGAAAAAAAAAACATAATTAAAATGATGGAGTGAAATTGCCAATAATGCAACAACGATTAATTGGCATAATAAAACGAAAGAGAGCGATGTCAACAAAAATATCCCATTTTTTATCTTATTTATAACTATAAATCACTTTAATAGCGAAACGTGTAGCCTTCAACAAAGAAAAAAAAATTTATATATATATATATATATATTAGAGAAAGAAAAGTTATTTAAAATTTTATATATGGTTGAATTTTGGATGAGAGATCATAAATCATAAAAATTTTCAAATTTTTAAGTCAAATTGGAGTCAATAGTAATTTTTCTTGTAACTCCTTAATCTCTTTGTTCTTCCTTTGTTGAATCATTTTTCAACAATATTTTTTTCAATAAAGTTCTGTGGAATTTTCCTTAGTATTATTTTTTGGTTAGAAAAAGAAAGAAGAAGATGATATAGAAAAAGAAAGATAAAAGTTTGCAATGAAATTCAGAAATAGAAATATGTTAAATAATGGACAATATAGGAATTTTATATTTATTACTTAAAAAAGTATGTAACTTAGGGGAAGTAAATCAGGCTTTGGTTAATCGGGATTCTAAACTAATGTGACTTTTTAAAGATCCATTTTAAAAAAATTTACCAAACGCTTTCTATTATTGGTAAAGGACTTTATGGGCTTAGAAGCCTGTTTTGAGGCTACAGGAAGTCCAGTCAAACATGCCCTTATTCTAAAGCTAAATTCTTGTAGTCTAGCTGGTAAGATGCCTCTTGTTGGCATTTAGAACGCATGGATTCGAAACTCGGCACCAACTAATTCCCTAACATTTATCCTACAAAAAAAATAAAATAAAAAATTTATTCTAAATAATGTTCTTATCGAACCAAAATTTAATTGCAAATCAGATATATGGTGAAATGAAAATTATAATAGGATTAGAATCGTTTTGACACCAAAATTAGCTAATATAAAAATAAAAATGTCACACTAAAAAAAATTCTATGCCAAATTATTTAAGGATTTGTTCCTTTTCAAGTTTGATTTTGAGTTTGTACCCGCGATGTTTTGTATAGTCTGCTTCTCTTTTTCCGAATTTTGATAGGGATCCAATATCTTCTCACTCACTTGGCTTATTAGGCTCTCCATTTTTTTTTAATTTATTGGAGATTGGCTTTGTTACAACATTTTCTGTGTGTAAATGTTGTTGGATTCATAAACTCTAACTCATAATTTTTAAATTATTTTAAAATAAACTTAAAAATACATTTACACGTATAAATACCATCAATCCCTTCTTAAGGCTAGGGAGGTCAAGTTCACAATCACTAATCGGCCATTATTGTCATCAAGTCGCACCACCATCTAGTTGCTGAAGAGTGATTGTCACTTTAATCGGGACCATAACCCATAGATATCTGAAAAACAGAAACAATGGAGCCTTCTGTTTCAAATAAAAATAAACAACATGTTAGTTAACATAACAGTGTCCATACCTTAAATGAAATAAAAGCACAATTAAACACATGAATGATGCCACCCAATACATTTATGTTACTGACATGGTTGATTTTTGCTTTGAAAACCTATCTGCTCTTCTAAAATCATTACTTGAGCGATATTGCCTATTTGTAGGCGATTGTTAGAAGGAAAAAAAAAAAAATGAAAATAAAATCTCAACATTAAATTTCACAAAATGACTACTCCCAAACTAAGAAAACACCACACTCCTGCAACAGATTTTTTTATTTTTATTTACTTCCTAATTTAAAAGAATTGAAAGGGTAGAAATACAGTCATTTAATATTCTTACCTATAAATCCAAACAGCTATTTGCCGGTTGCTAAAAATATTAACTTCCTTTTAATCAATTCCTTAGAATTAAATCCCTTTTTCATCATATATATATATATATATATATATATATATAAGAGAAAACATCTGTAATGCATTATCGCACAAAGTAAGACAATCAAACACATTCATGTGTATCAGCATACACATACACGCGTATCACTACATAACAATCATACTTTTTAAACTACTTCAAGAATGTCAAAACCCCATACACTCATTCATCATCTTTTCACATTTTTCTTATCAAGACTCCCTCCGGTCTCCATGGACAAGAATTACATATAATATCCCCTCTCCTTCCAACAGTCATCCATTTCAACCTATTACATCTTTTCTCTCACTTTGTGTATCTAAATTCATTTTTTATTTATATAGTCTTTAAATTCAATTCCTCATTGGATAACAATTCCATCCTCAACTTTCCTACCGAAGTACCAAATTAAAAATAAATCAACTTCTATTTATATAGTCTTCCAAACCAACCACAACTTACCTGGTAACAAGTTATCATATCAAACTCAACTATAAAATAACATTCTAATAAAGCCCCCCAAATTTTCTATCTTATACAAATTTTTAGACTTTCAAAGCAGAGAAGGAAACAATGTCTTGTATGTCGGATTTAGTATAACTGGTCGGATTGTTTCAAAATCTCTTTCTCTCAAAGAATCCATACAATTAGAATGGTAAAAATAGGATTCGCCTAAGGTCTCTAATTTCAAAGAATATCAAATGATTGGCTCTAAAAATTTATATCCTTAAATGACTTTTTATTTTTATTTTTTATCCATATGTTCCTCAGTCCTCTTTATACAAATCTGTCCCAAAAATTTATATTTTTAAATAATTTTTTTTTAATAAAAAACTGATAAAACTTTTTATATTATTTTTCAAACTTTCATCTTTTATTAATTTTTTTCGTCTCATTCCTGGCATATTTTATCTCATCACAAGTTCATACTTCTATTCCTTCTTCACTCAATTTACATTTTACTCTCAATTTAGATACGTAAAGAATTCAACAGCTAGGTAGGGGAGTGCAGCCACACATTTGAGAGGTCATACACGTGGTGGCGTTCCCATGGTTAGCTCAGAAAGGTCACGTGATGGTTGTGGCACTTACGCAATTTATCGAAAAACAAGTGGCATCTACACAAAAGGTCCTTAAACCACTTTCCTCGTTACCAAAGGGACAGAAGTCCTCTTCGTCCACTCAAAATTAAAGTGCACCACTCCCTCTCTCTCTCTCTCTCTCTCTCTCAAAAAAAAATAATAAAAATAAAAACACACACACAGTTCACACTGCTTAGACCATTTTTTTTTTTCATCTTAAAAAGGAGTCCTAACGACACCGACAGCTTTCTTCTTTTTCTATTTGCTCTATCATTCTCATCATCACTTTCTTATTTCTGGGACTCTGCACAGAGAGAACCCAAACATGGCGGACGCAACAAAGCATGTACCCATCAATGGAGGAACTCTGATCTCAGACCTCAAGAGCCTCTTCTCCATCTTCAGAACAAAAACAACCAGAGCTTTTGCTTATGGCTTCATGTTTGCTTTTGTTGTTTTCACTGTTTTCTTAGCCTTTAATCCTTCTTCAAATTCTTCCTCTCCATGGTTCACTAACATCTTTACTAGTAGTACTAGTTTAGCATCATCATCAACAAATACAAGTTCATCATCGTATGGATCTCAGTTTTCTTCAAATTTTACTAACTTTTTCCCAAATTCAACCAAACAAGGCCACAACGTTACTTCTCTCCCACCCCCAACTAATACTTCCAGATCTCAAGACACTACGTTACAATCACCCAATTTGCTTACAGAACCATCCATTCCCAAAAACCAGACTCGAGATAAAGTTGAAGTCTTGAAGCAAAACCAGAGCACAATTGTGGCACCAAAAGCTCCGGTGACGGCAAATCACACTGTGGATTCACTACCAAAGTCAGACCAGAACCCAATTGCTGCACCGAAAGCACCGGTGACGGCAAATCAAACTGGGAATTCACCACCGAAGTCAGACCAGAACCCAATTGCTGCACCGAAAGCACCGGTTACGGCAAATCAAACTGGGAATTCACCACCGAATATTGCTCAAAATGTGGATTCCAATCATACATCTTCTTTGACGAAGAAACCTAATTCTGGTGCGACTGTGAAACAGAGGAGTGATAATTTGGTTGATTCTCTAATGAATTGTGATATATTTGATGGGGATTGGGTGAAAGACAATTCGTATCCGCTCTACAAACCAGGCTCTTGTTCGCTGATTGATGAGCAATTCAATTGTTTTCTTAATGGTAGGCCTGACAATGGCTATCATAAACTCAAGTGGAAGCCCAGGGATTGCAGTCTTCCAAGGTACTCGCTATGGTTTCACTATTATTTTTTTATTACTATTTACGGGTTTTGTTTTGGTTTGTCTGTTCAATTTTCTGGATTTGGTTCACCTCATATTAGTAAATAGAGACTTTCCAACCATTTTCTGTTCATTTAAGTAATCTGTTTTTTTGAATTTCTATGATTTGAACTTGATAGATCCATTAACAATATGTTTCTAGTTTTTGTTACAATAAGATCTATATTCCTATCTCTAATTTTTTTATTTAAAAAACTTACTTTAATGGGTTTTCTGTCATCTTATCTTTTGGGATCATTCAATTGAAATTTGAATTGATCCATCAGTTTAATTTTTTGGGTTTTGTTTTGGCAAGTGTGGTATTTAGTGAAATTTTACTGGTTTTTTTTTTTCTTTTCCTTTTCCTTTTAAAATTTTTATTCTTTTTTTAGTGATTTTTTATTTCAAGTATTTAGGTTATGTTCTGTTTAGAATGATATTGTATGAATTTACTCTTTTATGTTCATTTTCATGTGTGTTTTTCTTTACCTTTTAAAACTTTTATTATTTTTTTTTTAGTGATTTTTAATTTCAAGTATTTAGGTTCTGTTCTGTTCTGTTCTGTTCTGTTCTGTTTAGAATGATAATGATATTGTATGAATTTATGATCTTTTTGCTCATAATAAGTGTTTGGTTTATTGGTCTTTTTGGTAAATGTTTAAGTTTCTGGATTTTTTTTTTTTTTTTTTTTGCTCTAATAAGAAGGAGGGGGTTGGGTTTTTATAGTAATTAAATTTATAGAAATATTTTAATTGACGCTGCTGGTGAAACTTGGCATATACAGGTTGGATGGAGGTCATATGTTGGAATTGCTGAGAGGTAAGAGATTGGTTTTTGTTGGGGATTCTCTGAATAGGAATATGTGGGAATCTCTGGTTTGCATCTTAAGAAACTCCGTCAAAAATCGAAAGAACGTTTACGAAGTATCTGGCAGACACCATTTTCGAACAGAAGCATCTTATTCTTTTGTATTTAAAGTAAGTCAATCATATTACTATTTGTTTTCTTTTCTCAATGAAATAGTTTAATCATCATTGAATGTTTGTTGTTAATTGGGATGATAAGTAGTTAATGCAATGAAGAAAACTTATGTTTCTGATGGTGCATTGGATTGGCAGGACTATAATTGCACAGTGGAGTTCTTTGTGTCTCCATTCTTAGTTCAAGAATGGGAAATGCCAGACAAGAAGGGATTGAAGAAGGAAACTCTTCGCCTTGATTTAATTGGGATGTCTGCTGACAATTACAAAAATGCGGACATCATTATCTTCAATACCGGACACTGGTGGACTCATGAGAAGACTTCCTTAGGGTAAAATCCATAATTAGTTTGAAATTATAGAGATCAGTGTCATGATTTCAGAATAAATTGTAATTTTCAGAGAGACTTGACGAGGATGAAAAATTGCAGGAAAGACTACTATCAAGAAGGTAGCAATGTGTACCATGAATTGAATGTTCTGGAGGCATTCCGGAAAGCATTAACAACATGGGGAAGATGGGTTGATGCGAATATAAATCCGAAGAAGACCCTAGTATTCTTCAGAGGTTATTCAGCCTCTCATTTCAGGTCAGAGAACAATAATAATAAATATGTTGATTTTCTCAATTTCCCCATTCATTTCCATTGTTTTTAGTTCGGCATCAGTAAAGAGTTCAAAGAAAATGACAACTGTAGTAGTATTTTCTTGTTGACCATTAATTTAGTTCTTCACCTATAAAACAAACACTTTGAAGATAAGAACAACATAAAATGCATATATAATGAAGACAACTGTTTTTTTTTATTATATTGGTTTCATCACCATGACAGTTGGTGCCTTTGTCTTTCTTCTGCAGTGGTGGGCAGTGGAATTCTGGTGGGCAATGTGACAATGAAATTGAACCTATTAAGAATAAGACATATCTAATGCAATATCCGCCGAAGATGTCAGTACTAGAGTCTGTGTTGAAGGGGATGAAAATTCACGTCTCTTATTTGAACATCACAAGATTGACAGATTATCGGAAGGATGGTCACCCATCAATTTACCGGAAGCAAAATCCATCCAAGGAAGAAAAGATAAAACCATTGCAGTTCCAGGACTGCAGCCATTGGTGCCTTCCCGGAGTGCCTGATGCGTGGAATGAGCTTCTCTACGCGGAGCTTTTGATAAACCAGAACCAGAAACAACAAGAGAAGAAAAGACCATAGGTGGTGACGAAGCACATCTCAAGAGGCTATGTTTATTGAAATATTGAGTTGAGGCACAGATAGACATATGCATGCATTATACTTGGTTTTTATTTCTGTTTGGGGAGGAGTATAGAAACAAACATGTACTTGGAGAAGATGAAGATGGATCCAAGAAAGTGTTTTTCAGTATAAATTATGAGAAGAGAGAAGCAACGTATAGAAGTGAAGTGGTACCCCCCTTGAGAGAGAGATCTCTAATTGTTTATATGTATGGGAAATAGGGATTTTGTTTGGATAAAAAATTAACACTCTAAAGTTATTTTTTTAAGTCTCAAGAGCTTAGAGATTGTAATTACAATTGTTCAGTTTGTTCATCCCAATAAAATAAAGTGGATTTGTTGTAATTTATTCTCGCTCATTCCCTCATCTTTGTCTGATTTCATTGGGTTTCTTAATAATTTAGGTGGTCAAGCTTGTAAGTATATGTGTTTTCAAAGTCATAGTCACTGTTTTTTGACTGAAAGCAGGACGCATCTCAACTTGATAATGACACGAACTGTGTTTGCTCCCTTTGATAAGTAGAAAAAATTATACATTGTTTGTTTTTTGGGTCCCTACTTCACATGGGATGTTTGATTATATATTCCGGTAATAAGAATCAAATTTATAATATTCTATATTGAGACTAAATTGTCGGTGTTTAGCGCGTTGTGACAAGAGTGAGTCATTACTTATTTATGGTGGAGCTCAATTATCACATGATAATGATATAATCAAATCAGGGATATATACCTATCCTTTGATCTTAAGCAACACTTTTCCTGGGTCATTTTCGCCACAAGCCACACACCAATTGGTTGCAAATGCATTTACTTTGTTAAACTTATCCCAGATATAAACTTGGCTAACCTAATGTGCTCCGATTTTTGTTAAATTATGTGTGTTTTATATTATTGTTCACACCATACAAAATAATTCTACAATACACAGTCTCAATGTTTCAAACTTTGATTTTCTCTCTTTTTGGTTAATAATTTTTTTACTATCTTCAAGTCTCAGAGTATCATTTTATTTTTTTTTTCCGTTTAAGCCCTTCATTAGTTAGGCTTTTGACATCAAATTTATGTTATCCCACTTAATGAGATTGAACATTTAATTAAGATGACATTTCATGAAAGTAAAATTTACCCAAAACTCAATTAGGCAGGCACATGGAATTGGAAGTATCTCCGTGTGTCCCGGAACGGGAATTATTCTTACCAAAGGACAAGGATATCCTCGCTTTTAAAAAATACTATATAAAATATAATAGGTTTAATGGTAATTCTTGGAACTATTATATTACTGACAACATAAACATGAACTGAGAATATGTGCACAGAAAATTCACATGCTGTGGATGATATTTATTTTATTTATCGACCTATGTTCATTCATTAGACTATTTTTTATTTCTTATTTTTTTTGGGTTTGGGTAACTCACGCACATCTCACAAATTATTTGCTAAGTAACTCACACATATTTCACAAATTACACCACTAAAAAGCCCTTCGCTTTAATTCCATTGGGTTAACCGGATCAAAAATAATAATAATACTATTGTGATAGGGTCCATTGGTGAACTAGACGAATTTGACTGGCCTTTTGCTATAAATATATAATAGTATATATGATGTCATATGTCTTGGTCTGGCCCAACTCAGCCCGTATGCCGAAAGATGTTTTGAGGTTGAAAATTAGTAGTATGTGTTTAGATGGACCCTTTTCTTCTGTTCTACAAATCTGGGCCTGATGATTTGACCGGACCGGGCCAGTAAGTGATGCCCAGTTTCTGGTAGGCTCATAATGGGTCCTCGTACCTAATCAGCGGTTCTATTTATGTAATGGGTTTTAACCCAATACATTTTTTTTATAAATAAATTCAGAAGCATAAATTGTGAGTATGGACGACAGGACGAGTGTGTTATTTGCCAAAAAAAAAAAAAAAAAAAAAAAAAACACATACACATAAAAGAAAAGAAAAGAAAAAGAATCCAATGATAATATTTTTGCCACCAAATTTATGACATTCGAGTATGAGAATGATCAATGATCCTACCATGTGTAATCGAGTGATCAAAAGGAAAAGAAAATTGGTATTATTCAATGATGACTGATATTATCATACCAATCCCGCCAATTGGTCAACTTGGTTATTTGTATTAACAAAGTCATGATCATAATAACATGCATGGAGGTGTGTTGCTCACAATCCACATGAATTCTTTGCTATTATAGTGTCACACTAATTATAACTCTTTCCAATTTGTTAACTTTGAGAATAAATTTACCCAAAAAAAACTTTGAGAATAAAAGAGAGAGAGAGTTTATCATCTTTATTTCACAATTCAAAATTGGAGAAGCAAAAAAACAATCTTCTAAAAGATTGTGTTTGGCTGTATGAAATTAGAGTTTAGGAATTAAAATTGGGAAAAATTTTAGTTCAATTTTCAGAAATTGGTTTTCTCCATTCTAATTCCAATTCCATGCAATCGAACACAACCTAAAGGAAATTCCTATTCGGATGAGATCATTTGCTATTATTGATAATATTTATGAACCATTTGAAACATCAAAATTTATAAGGAAACTTATCAATCATGTTATTATGAACTAATGTGACAATCTTGATAGAAACACTTTAATAAAAGATAGTATAGATATCTATTCTATTACTGATAAAAAGTTCTTGTTAGACTCTACGAAGAGTCGGTTCAAAAAAATCCATCAGCCATTGTATCATTCCTCAAGTTTTTAATAATTGTAGTTCCTACTTTCTATACATTTAAAAAATAAATAAATAAAGAAAAGAAGAAAGAATGGGTAGTACTCGAGACTTTGGGTGCACATATTATTGGATAACATATAAAATGGTGGTTGAGCTTTCGTTTTTGGTGATAGGGTCAATAGCTTAACAGAGGGTTCATTCTCTACTGAGTGACAATAATAGGCATATTGCAAATTTGTCAAATTAATTACAGATGGTTTTTACATATTTATTTTGTGGATCTTTATTTACATGTGAGAGAGAGAGAGAGAAGAATTATTGCAGTATTATACAAGTGGTCAGAAGTCAGAAAAGAGTAACTATTCTCAATTATTACTAGAATTCTGGCATGCATTAGCTGATGCACGCCTACTCTCATTCCTAAGAGGTCACATTGTTTAGAGCAACCCCGCGCATATGCATTGTGTACAATATCTGATGAAGTGTTGAATGAATATCTTTACTATGCACATTACACACTTGTGGTGCACCTCCTTCATATTTCACACCCAATTTTTTAAATGTGTAGAATCAAGTAGACATTGTACCCTTGAAATGGTGGGCCTTGTGTGTATTTTTTATATTATAAAATAAATTGATTGTGTATTAGTAGTATGCGGGTAAATTTTAAAATAATAAAATATAGAATATAAAAGATGTGTGCATAATATGAGAAATAAATTTTTACAAAATATGTAGAGTCGTATCACCACAATTGCCGACATGACATTACACTTTCTAAAAGTGTAAAATGAGAATGGAGATGCTGCACTGGGATGCTCTTAGACACCCATAATTTTCTCTTGTAAAATGGTGTGTGTGTGTGTGTATATATATATATATATGTGTGTGTGTGTGATCATTTAACTTGATTTTACAATTTAAAATTATATATACAGTGGCTTAATTCACACCAAACATATCAAATGGAGTAGGACTCATAATTGATGGTTTCCACAGACAACAAAAGTTGTGTATGATTGCTCTATGCCTCTAGTAATAGAGTAGACTCATAATTGTTAGTAGTTGTCAAACGTACAGGTGTGAACTCAAGGAAATAAAATTAATCATGTGAACTACACTTGCTCGGGCTCTCTCCGCCCTGTGTACGTCGTAGTCTTACTTTTTGATTTGAAAAAAAAATAATAATAAATAAATAAACACTTGCTATTAGTACAAAACAGATCGATCAAACACATGAGGTTGCAAACACTAAATTAATATTTCAGTCAATAGAAAAAGAATCAAATAACACAACATTTTTTCTAATGAAAATTGCTTGTAAAATCACAGGCAAAATATCACTCTTCCAATCTCTGCAAAGTTCCAATGACAAGAAACTATGGAAATCTTAATATCACTGAAAAAAGGTTAATAAAAGAAGAAAAGAATATAACCCAATATGATCAAATTAGAAACCAAAACATATACCTATACAAAAAAGTAATTAATTAACTATATTTTGATATTGGTGTATTTCTCATGAAGCAGCGTGGTGAGCATGGTTTTGGGCTTGTGAAAAGGGAAGTAATCTTGTTTTAGCAGGGGAAGATGTGGTATTGCCGGCGGCGGCGGTGGCAGCGGCAGCGGCGGCGGCATTGTTGTTGGTGGCAGCAGCGGAAGCGGAGGTGGAGGCCACGCGCTCACAAGAAGGGCACATGGTGAGAGTGGTGGCAGGAAGCTGCATGTAGAAAGGTTGGGAAGTCTTCAATGCTCTTAATTCATGAAGCTCCTTTTGTAACCTCCTATTCTCTTCTGTCAGTGTCTCACAGCACCTCTTTAAATACTCACAATCTACCTCTGTCTGCTTCAACTTTGTCCTGTAATTTTCATTATTTTACCAAATTATTATACCATTAGCAACAGGACAAAAAACAAAATATCTACTAATATATATGAGTGATATTTAAATTTAATGTAGCAAAATAAATTCATACAAAAAAAAAAAAAAAATTAAATAGAATTTTGTCCAAAACAAACCCAAATGAAATATTGATAATTAACTTATAGAACAAGTTTTTGTCGATCACTGTTTCATAGAAAATTCTCTTCTCATAATAACAAGTCAACAAAATTAAAATAATATATTAATAATGGTAGTAGTAGTACCTTGCTCTTCTGTTCTGAAACCAGACTTCTACTTGGCGAGGACGAAGATTCAACTGCTTTGCTAGGGCAAGTTTTTGTTTCTGCATGTTTAATTTATAGAAATTGCTTAAATGAATATATAAATAAATGAGGAGTCATATTTGAAAAACTAATTAACCCCAATACCAATAATAATAATAACAAAAGAACACACTATATTAGAACTCTTGCCCTCTCTCTCTCTCTCTCTCTCTCTCTCTCTCTCTCTATATATATATAATATGTTGAGGTTAGACTTACAGGATTGAGTGTATTGTGTTCTTTGAAGCTCTCTTCAAGAAAAGCTGACTGGTCTTTGGAAAGCCTGAGTTTTTTCCGAGTGAGGCCATTCTCTTCCTCATCACTAGCTCTTGATGAACCAACTCTCTCAGTCTCAACTTCATCTTCCAAATCTCTCTTGCCTGATCTTCCACTTCTATAGATTGAAAAATCCATCCGAAATGATGAAACCGCGCTGTTCGGAGACGACGACCTGGCCGCCCCGTCCTCCGCATCATCTAACACCGCCAGTGGCAGCCGGTTTACATCTAGCCTCCTTCCCGGTCCATCCGATGAACCCGGTTCAGATATTACTGTAACATGTAAAATGGCCCCATAATCAATTCAAATGACCAAATCTAGCAAAACCCATTCATATTACTATAATCAACAAAATAATTAAGTAACAGTATCTAAAAAATAAAGTCACCAAACAAGAACAACTATCCATTAAAACCTAGCTAGATCTTAAAATCCCTTGAATTAATTAGAATATATATATATATATATATATATATAGGTGATCATCTGAAAATAACAATTTCAAATGAGAGAAAAATGAGAAATTAAAACCCATAACCTAATTAAAAATATGAATTAGACGATGGAGTTGAGAAAGTAACACATATGATGAATAAGGAGATGGAGATAAAAAAATTAAAAAAAAGGTGTATTTACTTACACTTGTCAGTGAGCCATGGAAAGCAAAGCTGTGAAGAAGGTTGCTTGCGAGCTTGAACAGTAGTAGAGAAAGGAAGAAGACCAAGCTGAACCGGTGGATCTGTTGAGACTCTCCTCATCAGCTCTTCTTTCCTACTACTACTACCTTCGTTAATGTTCAGAGAAGCTGATCCTAAGCCCATGCAAAACCCTAATTCCTTGTTACCAATCTTCTGTGTGTTGTCAAGAAAAGTGAACGGCTTTGGTGTATCTCCCAAGCTCAAAGCTAACTCCATGGTTTGATTGAGGAGAGAGAGAGACAGAGAGAGCTTAGAGAATTGAGATAGAGAAGAGCACCGAAATGTTTAATATAAACACACACGAACATAGACAAGTCCTTTTAATTTCTTTTTTGCCTCCTTGTTTGAGTAAAGATTGACCGACAAATCCTAGTTGACAAATGCACGTGAATCCTATATTAATATACAACGGTTCATACCTGAGGGAGAGATATGTCTAAGACTCATTGATTTTGTCCAACCAATCAAGCTTTTTTAGTACGACTACTACTATTATATATACTCTAGTAGTATTTTATTTCCAATTAATTACTATAACACCATATATCCCAAGCAAATAAAAGTGTCCTCTTCACCTACCCAAATGATAATAAAAATTGTAATAATAACAATAATAATTGCCTTTTTCCATTTTAGGATGTGCAACAGTAATTTTCCTTTCAAAAGGCTATCATCGTATTTAAAATTTTCTAAATTAAGTATTAAAAAGTTTGTCAATTTAACAACCTAAGTGTGCAAATTTTAACCTTTTTTTAAGAGGGACACATTTATATTTTATTTTTAAAATTGAAATTCTCAAAGGATCATTGTAGTTAGTTATATGGATCATGTTAAAGTGGATCATGTTATGACAAGAGCCATTTATAAATTTGTGATTCGAGTTTAGGGAGATTTAAGTTTGGCCAATAAAATATGTATTAAGTACTTTATTTAATTTTTGCAGATTTAAAAAAATAGTCTCTGACCTCTCTATACTCAATCACTGGGATTAAAAATTAAATTGCGTCACAAGTTATGCAATAAATTAAAGAAAATAAATTTGTAAAAAGAGTTTAGATCGAAAGACTTAAGTTTGGCCGACAACTCCGCGAAAAAGAGGCTTCAACCTTTCATCATCAAGCATCATTTAATTTAACTGATATTGGTAGGATCGTCTTGTAGATTATTACCTCAAACAAACAAGTCCTCACTTAAAATGGACAGTTTTGGTGATGGATCAATTGAAACTTTCCAAGTAACCCAAGAGCCCTACCCTAAATTGAAATCAAATGACACTGACGTGTGAGGCTGCTCGACTCACCAGAATCAGTCCAACACGTGTCACAAACCCAATTGGCTAGGTCTAGAACCAAAACACAAAATAATCTTTTTGGGGCGGATTTGAAGTGTGAAATGTAATATAAATATTTTAAAAAAAACATGGGAAGGTTAGCACGAGATTTGACCATAATTGGCCCCCTAGCCCCTGTGTTCTCTACTTGGGCAGACAAGGAGACCACATTTTACTATTCCAAGAAAAGTAATACCAACTTTTAATAAGTAAGATTTAATTGTTAATTATCTAATTGGTATAAAATTATGAGTATCCAATGAGTCTATTAATACTAGCTGATATGTGTGTGTGTGTATATATATATATATATATATATGATGAATAGGTGTTTGATAAATGAAGAAGATCGAAATAGCGGTCTAATGCGCGTGGGGTGGGCTTTTTAATTAAGAAGGGTTAAGTAATTAACATTGATATCCAGAGGAAGTGACCAGGTCAGATATGTCACACTTTTTAGATCATTGCAATAATTGAAGTCATGCAGGCTTTAATGATAAGCTTGATAAATTAGATAGAGAAAGGTTTTAGAGAGAGAAATAGGTTAGAGAGAAGTAGAAGAGCAACGTAGGAAACCCACGCCCACCCAACCACTCCCTCCTACAATATTCTACAATCACCACTTTGACAATGACGACAACAAGGGTTTTTTTCTTTTTCTTCCTAGTAATTTGGTCAAGCCATCTTACTTGTGTTTGAATTTTTAACTATGTGGCTTCCATTGTCTAATTAAATAATGATCATAATATCATATTCTACATGTATATATTATGATTGTGTTTATTATTATTGTAATATCAATTGTAAGGCGCATTTTCTTTTCATACTCAAGTGTACCTTGATGATCAATATATAATAATACTGCAAAAAACCTAATCTTTTTATGCTGAAAAATATAGGAAGCTTTTCTTTTCATTTATTTATTTTTGTAAAATAGTTAGAGTAAAATTGAATATATGAATATATATTTTTGGAGGTAAAAGAATAAATATAATATTTTAAAAATAAAAGAGATATCAGTGGATTATAGTTTTTTCTTTAATATATAGCACTTAAAAAAATGGAATAGAGAGACATTGATACATCAACTTTTATTATTAATTATTAAATATTATAAAAATAATAATTCATTCCCCATGATTCAAGTGCACAAGAAGAAAAAAATTGTAGAATGCCCCCACATAGCTAGATATTAGACATAGGTTAAAAGCCATGAGTAGCTGCCTGGAAGAAGTCACATATATATATATATATATTTAATATATACTATTATATACTGCCAATGGAATTTTTTTGGCCAATGATTTGAATTTAGACCAAGTAAAATTAGGTGACTGCATGGTCCCACTTATGAAGAAATTTAAAAGTCAAGTTTTCAGCCTTGAATTGTGCAAACTGTCAACTCACGTGACACCCGTCTCTTACTTTTTGGAGTTCCTGAAAGGAGGGCTTAAACCGGGACCTGGATTTTCTCTTTTTGCTCTCACAAATTATTATATCTATATGTTATCTATTATTATTTTCTTTCTTGTTTTCTTTTCTTTTTTTTTTGGCCATATGTTGTTATCAATGACATTCATAGCAATTGATCATTAGTCTCCCTATATAAAAAAAGGGAAGTGCAAAGGAAATCAAAGGCCATTGATTAATTGGGAATTTGGGAGTTCATTACTTTTAAATTATATATTTTTCATCTATTGACTATAATCAGTGCCTTTTGATTTATGCTAATTACTTTTAAATGATATTGTTTTTCATCTATGCTAATTACTTTTAAATGACTTATGCTAATTACTTTTAAATGATAATGGCTTTTGATTTTTGGTTAATTTTGTGTTTTGTCAGTGAGTCCTTTAAGGAATAAAAAAAGTTTTACAAAGCATGTTGGTAATATTATTTCCTGATTGAGGAATGTTTGGGAAAAAAAATTAAAGGCAAATGAATTGGAACTTCACAAAAGTTATACTCATCTCCCCCCTATCATGCTTGTCGGTTCGTAAATTTATATTGTATTTTATTATAATAAACATTATTTTCAAGTATTAAAATTATAAAAAATAACTTAATTTAATATTTTTCGTCGTTCACAATTAATGAAAGGAGTATGTATTAAATTTCAAGAGATGCACAAAATAATTTAGTAAATAAGAAAGAGGGGACAAGGAGGAATTTGTATTTTTCTTTCCACCCAAAATTGAGAGAAAGAGAAGAGAGAGAATGTTAGAAATAAAAAATACGTAAGTTATATTTTTAACTTTTTCAAAAGTTTGCTTGTTAAGCCCTACTACATTTAATGAGGATATATTGGTAAAAATAATATAAAAACTCTCTTTCATTTTTTTTCAATCAAACAAAAAAAGTGTCACCCCAATCTATCATTTCAACTATCCATTACATCCAAGTTCCAACTAAATAAAAAGTGAGGTAGACACCTTCCTTGAGATGCCTCATTAATCTCTTCCCTTCTCCCTTTCATCTATTTTTTTATCCCTTCAACTAAACGGGAGCATAAATCGCAAAATTCTTGGGTGTTTTTTTGGGGAATTTATTTTTTTATGTAGTGAATTTTTAATTATTTTTTATTGTATTGATAAGAGTAAATTTTTAAATTTGTCATTGTTAATAAAATATAAAAGTGCTTTTCAATTAGTGCATTTATTTAATTAAATCAATATTAAAAAAGATAATCTGGAAAGGCTGGAGTATAAAATAGTACATTTATTTTGTGAATGAGATGTATTTTGGGAATCACAAAAGAGGAAGATGATTAAGAATTTTGGAATGGAGGAAATATATGAGTCCTCCTATTTATCTCAACAAACAAAAACTTATTATTTAATCGAGTCTATGTGACTACTCATGTGTCAAATATAATGGGAGTTATTTTAAAATATAAAGTAATTAATTATTTAGAAAGTTGTCTATCTTTCTATTTTTTAACAAATAAAAGTCAAAAATCTTATCAATGCCCTAGGGTTTCATCTTAATATTCTTTGTTGGAAATTAAAGTTTTAATCACCATGAAACTTTACTATATGTATCTCTCTCTCTCTATATAAAATTGTTATGCAAAAAATTTATCTAATTCCCATAAACAAAAACAATGAGAGGAATTTTAAAAAGAAAAATTGGAAAGCATTGCATCATTTGACAATAGAAATTGTAATTTTGTATAAATAAAAATTTTATATTTTCGTACCATGAAAATAAAGAAGAAGATGAGGAAAGATGAAGCAGAACTTATAAAAAATTGAAATGATAAAGAAAGAAAAATAGACCTAATTTATGAAAGATTTTCAATTCAGTTATATCATTTTTCGGAAGTGTATATATATATATATATATATATATATATATATATATTTAGAGAGAGAGAGAGAGAGAGAGAGAGATGAACCCATCTTAGAATTGTCCGACTAACAGGATTGATATCTGAGGTGACAGAAGGAGGAATTGGAATGAGTGACTGAGGTGACAGAAGGAGGAATTGGAATGAGTGATTGAAAAAGCAATAATACACATTCATTTACTTGGAAAATCCAAAATTCAAATATATTTCATGCAGCACACAATCATGATAATCATGATTAACAGATTAAACTAGAATCATTAAATTCATAATTAGCGGACAACTTTTGTGGGAATCGAAATGTCAAACCTTTGATTTCAAATACTAGACTCTTTTACCTTTGTGTAAAAGAAGACAAAATTGCTCAACTGTTCCATTTCTATAATGTAATGTAGCTCACTGTTTTTTTTCCCTCTCCAAACATTATTGAACCAATAAGATGACCATATCTTTTCATTATGTTTTCCCATCACACTACATCACCATAATCAAATTAATGAATAAAAGGTTATACTTCAAAATTAGTTGCATTAACCCACCATTGTTTTATAAGTGAAAAGAAAAGTGTTAAAGGCAGTTGCGCAATTGCAT